ATGTCAGACTCTGTAATTCCAACAAGTAAGATAATAATTCCTCGTCAGCATGCCTTCTTCTTGCTGTGCCTCTTAAATGGAAGACTTTAAGAAAAATAGCATGCTGACTGACGTTGAGCACTTTAGTGTGAATTATATTACACCGAGCCTTCGTCTATCAGCGAGGAATACAATAGCAAAAGAGAACTAGTAAAACCGGTATACATGTGTGTGTAGCAAACAGTTTCTGACAATGAAAAGAGAAATAGTGAGCAGGTTCAAAGAAAAAAATTCCAATTGCCGCAAACAAACCATCAAGTATCTGTTGATCTGTGGAGAAACTTAGCCTTCCACCGATTTTGTCTTGAGCGACGGTTACTGTCTGGGAGCCGTAATGATGTAAGTTTCATCAAATGTAATATCACCGATCTAGCAAAAAAAAGGTCAGGAAATGACTGAAATAAAGAAAAATCAATGTAGAGCAACAATCTGGAGGTGATATAGGTGATTTAATCACATGGTTAACATATTATGTCAAAGCAAGAGCAAGACCCTGTCTCTACTAAAAATAGAAAGAAATGATCTGACAACTAAAGAAGTATTATATATAGAAGAAAAATGAGGCCGGCATGTGGCGCGGTGCCTGTATCCCAAGCTACTCGGGGAGGAGGCTGAGGCGGGAGGAGTCGCTGTGGAGCCAAGTCGAGGGCTGGTGAGCGAGGCGACGCACGGCACTCACCTAGCCGGGGCGAAGAGTGAGACTCTGGTCCAAAAAGGAAAAAATATATATATCTATGTAGAGTTCTAATGGTTACTGAATTGGTCGTAGTAAAACCTTACATGGTCTCTTGGGGTGGGTGCAGGAAGTTGAATGTGAGCTCAATTGATTCTGCCCCAATAATCTGAAAAAAGACACTGTACGATCACTGCTGACGGTTGTACTTTCAAAAATTATGATCGTAAAAGTGTCTCCCCAATATTAGGCTAATAATTACATCACGGATTCAGAAAACCAATACCAAAGTTGTCGATGTGAAAAAGTATTTCTTTTCACCTAATGGCGAGCCTTTCTTCTCTCCTCCCACTTATCATGTTTAATAGAATGAGATATATGTGTTGTGTATTGGGGCTCACTCTTTCTCAGGCTGGTTCTCGAACTCCTGACCCTCGAGCGATCTGATCCTCACGCCTCGGCCTCCCAGTATTTCTGGGATGACAGGCGTGAGCCACTGGAAGTTTTTATGCTGAATTAACTCTGTATATTTCCTCCGTCTCTCTCTTATTATTCTTCGAATTAATTTCTGTTAATTTGCATGTATGTATATGTCTTCTTACGTGTTGTGTTATATGCTGTTATCTTATTATTACATACATGCATATAGACTGTGTGTGCACCTGGCATGCATGTGTGTGTGTATAGAGTGATAATCCCATATTTCTGCTGGTAAGTGACGTACTGGCAAAACGACACATTGTAGGAGGGAGAGGTGTATGGTATTACATTGAAATCCTCAACCTCCGCTGGCATTTAGCAGCATTTAAGTATTTGAGACCGTGGCACACTTTACTAGGACAGTGGCATCTGTCTTTGTCCCAAGCAGAGAAACGTCCTTGCTTTAGTGGACGACAGAGATCTGTTTGATGCGCGCAAAATCTGTAGGACTTTTTTTTAAAAAAAGCAAGCAAGGTTTTAATGGCGCTGGTTCCTTGCTCTGTCCTCCTCTTTCTCGTCTTCTCTCCTTCCACGACCATGTACGTCCAGATGCACAGGCATGCTGCTTCCTGTTGGTTTCCCTGGGCTGCCAAGCCAGCTGGAGGTGAAGATGATTCTGGGCCGTGAGCAGGACTGCCCGGCTTGCCCTCCTGAGGGCAGATGGCTCTAGCAGCAGCGGCCTGGGCCACCAGACCAGAGCCATCCCTTGTTATGTCTAGAATTCTGTATGTGTTATATTTTGCTATGTCTGATCTTCGCTCCTGGTGTCAGCCTGGCGTCAGCTCGTCCATCGTGCCTCATGCGCTAATATGTGTAGTATGTTTGTGGCCAGTGTAATTTGGGATGCCAGTCCACTAGCCACGTTGGACGCCAGTGGTCCACCCTCTCTCTGCCGCGAGGTCCCAGGAGCCCCGGCTGGAGGTAGGGCATGCCACCCCCTCCACCTGCGCTCTTGTCCTGGTCTCTCTTGGCTACGACCTTTCCAGCTGGTTGGTCAGCTACGTCACGCACGGGCGTGGGCGAGGTGGCTTGGAAGGGCTCCAAGCTGGAGAGAAAGCACACGCTGCGCACACCCCGCCGACTCCCAGCTCCTCCCGCTGCCACGTGCTCCTTAGAGACCCGTGCCACGTTCTATGTTCATGTCACTCTGCCTTCTCTCAATATTACGGCCATTGGCTTCTATCTCGGTGTTTTGCTCTTATCTATAAGAATTGCAGGGCATAGGATTGATAATTTTAAACTAGAGTCCGCCTCAATGTCTGAGACAGGATATGCTCCTCCCCCCTGTTAAAAATGTTGAACCCCTGCATCTGATCAAATAACTGCCCACTTTTTTGGTGATCAAGTTTCAAGGTCTGTTTTGGGCCGAAGGGGGATTTTCCAGATTTCCGGAGTAGCTGTGTGCATGTCTGTGTGGGCATTCTGTTTATGCCCTTTCTGTTTTTTTTTGTCTCCAGTCCGAGGTCTTTATCCATCAACATCAAAGCCTATTTATTCCCCCACTTGCAGCACATCTTTCCTTCTCTCTTTACAGGAAGGCTTTCTCTATTCTGCTCTTGTTGTATGTAAGTCTGTTCCGGAAATCAGTACCAACAGAGGACAACTTCCTGTGGCCCCCAAAAAGACCCCAAATTATCAGGCAGTAAGCAGTGGAGTGGGTTTTGGTTTGAGACAGATCTCTGGATGTGAGGGTTCATTCCAAGATATCCACCCCCTTCTTACAATGATACTGCAAAAGCAAGTATTTTTGGGCTTCAGGGCCTGCCAGAGAGATGGAAGTCGGAGGAAGCAAAAGATGAAAATGAGAACAGATTATTATTTTTTAAAAATGCATGCAATTAAAGAAGACATTGCCACCCATCCATTACTTCCAAGCACATTTTAAACTTTCAATCCACACCGAAAGACATCTATAAGAGACAGGGGATTTTCCTTCATCATCGTGGCTAACTAAAAATTAATGTAACTAACTTTCGTTAATTCATCCTTTTTTTTTTTTTTTTTTTTTTTTACAACGGCCCTTCAGAAATTTAGTCTCTGTGTCTTTCTCATGATTTGGCTTTCCTCCAAAACTCATTGCATGCACCTCATATAGGATCCCTGCCTCACTTACAAATGAGAGTTTGGTTTGCTTTTGGGTTAGTTTGTTTTTGTTTGCTTTGCCTTCCATAGATATTTTTTCCCAAAAGGAAAGCATAATTTAAATATATATATATACACACACCTTTGTGATGTCCGGAGTGTGTCCAATACTATATAACAGTTTTGCTGCCGTTGCCCAACGAAGAAATTTATGGAATGCCTTGTGTTTAGCAGGATGCAGGTGGATTTGGAATTTAAAATGGGTCTCTCTCCTTTAGCTGTGAGAGAGAAACCAATCCCGCTAATTTGCATTTACCTCTTTGAAGATATCACCGGCCTTTTTCCTGACATACACGCAAACTAAATGCTGCTGACAGTTTCTCGTTTGCCCAGCCCCAGCCCCTGTGCGCCTTGCACGCGTGGACGGAGAAACCGATTCTGCACAAATGCACAGCGCGAGCAACTGAGTTGCAGCCGGGACCTCAGCCTAGTGACTGGGGAGGCTTCCTAAACTCCAAGCCCACTCCTCAGCGCTTTATCAAACCAGTTAACGACAGCAAAAATCCAGCCTTCCCCCCTACCCCCACCCGGGGCACGCCAGGGCTTCTCAAGTTGGGCTGGGAATCCAATCCCCGTTTGGTTTTTCCGCCCAGGGAAGCGCTAGCCAGCGCTGGGATTGTCCTCCTGGCTGGACCCAGTTCCGGAAGGCTCCCGGAGGCAGGAGGTGTGCTAGCTCTCGGTCTGCCCGGGCACAGCTAAGGAAGGGGACTTGGGCATCCGGCGCCAGGTGCGCAGGAGAGGCGCGTTACCTGGGCGCAAGTGCGCGCGCTGGGGCGGTGGAAGGGGGGGGGACTCGAACCCGTGTCCCGGGAACCCCGCGTTCCGACCCCTTTTTTGCTCCGGTCGCTGCCTAGAGTGGACTGGGGCTGAATTCTGCTGGGCTGGTGGCGCTCCTGGGGGGAGGGTGGCGCGGGGGAGGGGCGG